AATTCAATTTCACCATGTTTTCTCTGGTTTATGCGTTAGTACAGTGCTTCTGTGTTTGTTTAAACACTATGGAGTTCAATGCTAGGCAAAATATACTCTCATTTTAATTAACTCCTCAAAACCGTGAAAATTTAATATTTCTGTGTGAATATGAAGCAGTTTTTCCCAATCATCTTTACTTTCGTAAAGTCCTGAAACAGGGCCTAGGTCAACATTTCTCCAATAACCAAAATTATCAATTAAAATAAATACTTAAAACATCAATGCTGGCAGCTCCTAGGTTTTACAATATGTCTCTACATGCCTTAAAAAAAAAGGGGGGGGGCTTCAAACTATAAAGGAAACCGTGAAACAAACTCAACCTTCCCCCCCTTTTATTTTAAAAATATTAAGCCACTTTCATTGCCATTTTCACATGGGATGTTAAACCAGATGGAAAACATTGAAAAAGTAAAGTGTCAGTCCCAATTTTCTACTTATATCCAACACTGTGCAGGAGATATGGATCTGAGGTCATTTGTTGCAGAGAAGTTTTATTATTGGTGATTGAAACCTGTTATCAAATCAACACAAACGATGCCTGGCTTAACAAACAGGCTAGCAAAAATTGACAGAAAATGATAGCCAGGTAGTAGGTCCAGTACAATCAAATCAGATCATCATGAAAGGCAGTGAAGCATGTTTCTCCTAACGTGGGTCAGGTTGCAATCTGGCCAGCTTCATTAGATAACAAGCTGTATTTTAACCCGACCAACACAAGTACAAACCGTTATCGCCTACCCCAGCGAAGCATTGCAATCACACATCTTTTGCTGGTTGTAAAACATCTACTGTGCTAAGAGAAGCCACTAACGTCCTTCTGCCTCAGCACACTACTTGACCTTACCTAGGATCTCCGTGTATGAACAACAGCAACTGAAAAGGAAGATGCAGCTTTTTTTATTACACTACTGGTTGCTGACGGCCAGCTCTTGGGAAAAAACACAGTTACCTTCTAGTACACAGGATGCCTTTGAGCCACTTGTGCAGCTGTTTCATTAGCCACAGCCTTTACAAAGAGCAAAGACTAAAATCAAGAGGAAGCTTACTGAATTCCAGATAGGATAAAATTCCACAGGGGATTTTTTTTTTGTTTTGTTTAAAAGACTAGAGTTCACAAATGTTAGCAACAAATATAAGACTAGGTTTCCATTTAATCCCTTTAAAGCACAGGAGTCCAAAATCATTAATGTACTAGGATGTGCCTACTCCTGACACTGACTTATCAAAGCTTACTCAAACCTTTTCATTTTACCTCTTAGAGGAGTTGTAACAAATGCGTTCATAGAAATAACTTAGTCTTATTCCTATTGTGTTAGGAACATAATGAACAAAAGAAACATTTGCCACCCATATTGGAAAGTTCTCCAGCTCAGCTGAAACTTTCCTAGCATCCAGAGTAAAAAAATAAAAAATGAACTACTCTTATGTGGTCTCTTAGCACCACCAAAATATCCATCCAAAAGAAAGCTCAGTATATCAAGCACACAAGCAGGGAGCATTCACAATTAAACTTACTGCACAAATCTAAGATCAATAGCTGGAACAGGACAATGTTCCATTTCCTGTGTAGGAAGGAAACTAATGACATGAAAATTAATTTTGTATAGGAACTGACCAGAATAATATGGACAAGTTAATTTCTTCCGTTGCAAACAGCTTTGCTAGCGACTTGCATACTTTATTCCTTAAATTACAGGCTTTCTATAGACAAGAACTCCTCACATCACCTTTTTATCCCTCTGTCTACTGGTACTGAAGTCTTCTCATAGCATATTCTGCCTCATTTATTTCAAGCCACTGACAGTATCAGCTTCGTTTCTTTCCCTCAACATTTGTTTTCAAGCCTGTTACAAGCTGGTCCCTAGACAAAACAACCTTATTGCCCAGGGTGATGCCAAGTTTTACCATCTTTCATCTGTATCACAGTTGTTATCTTTTTCTATCATGCCAAGACACTAATCCCCGCTCCTCCAAACAGACTCTGCTTCCCTGATAAATCTTTCCTTGCTCTGCTACAGTTTGTCCCTTGTCTTCCAGGCTACAATCTCCTTCAGACAGAAGCCACCATTATCTGGCTGTGCCTTACGTACCTCACGGAGCATAGAGCTGGAACCTCAGCAAGAAGTTGGACTACTTGATCCAGTTTCAATTAAATCAATCCCTGAGGCTTCTGCACAGCTTTTCCCAGTATTTCACAGGATGACTTCATTTACTCTTACTAGTCCAGCTACACGATTTTGAGTCCTTCCTACAAAAAAATCAAAACAAGTCCCATGGTAATTACATCCCTTGTAAAAACCACACAACTCAAGTCCTAGCCATTAAAAATGGTAGAGTTAATGAAAAATCTTTCCATGTGTATCAATTTGAGTTTACTCATTAACAGTTTAAGTTTCTTCTCCAAGAATCCCTGACAGTCTGATTTGGGCTCCAGACTGGTCAAATAGACACAATTCTTGAGATAGCGAAACACAAGGGCCAGGCCAAAACCCAAAAGCAGGCAACAGTGACAAAAAGCTACTACCTACAGATGATGGGGTGTGCCAAGAGCAGCAGGAAATAAAAGGGTACCTTCAGCGCACAGTAGGGCAAGGAGTGAAGATTCCTGCTCACCAATGCTTTCCACTTAATTGTTTTACCTCCCACAGGAAAGGGGATTAACCTAGAATCTCTTCACCACATGGCACGTGCGTTAAACTTCTGAATTACAGAACATCTGCTACACACTGCTAGACTGTAGTGTACAAAGGCAAAGTGTTGGGCAGAACAGAAACTCACACGAAGAGCTGCTTGTTTCCAGACTCTGGAAGCACCAAGATTTCAGATGACAGCTATTCAGCTGCCTGCTATTTTCCGGGTGAGACAATAGGAGAAAAGGATGACCACATCAACACAAAATGTTGCAGAAGAGTGGAAAAACTTAAATAGGGTGATCTGATTTGATCAGTTAATTCTAAATCACTTAATGTCATTTTGTCCCCTTCATTTTTTGTGCTTAATGCCTCATATTGCAAGACAAGAGTACAGCTTATGATGCGTGGTTATAACCTAACCACACAAGGAGAGTCCATGTTCTATGGCCTCACTAGGTATTTTTTGCTGTCAATTTTAAATCATCAAAATGGGGCATTAAATACCAAATTATGGCACCAAGCAATAAGACAGCCTATTTTAATCCATCTGCTTTGAAAAGTTCCTTACCTCATAAATGAGCTTGTAATAAAAAGCACGTAAGACATTACAAAATTACAAAGGGAGCCTTTAATGCTCCAACTCCAGAACTAAGTTCTGCTTCAAGACGTACAGAGTAAACAGTACTGTTCAAGGGGGCATGTAAAGTCAAAATATCAAGGCTATGCAAGACATATACATTTATACCAGCACTTACAGATCTTTTGTTGATTGCTTATAAACTAAGGTAATGAGGCTTCTGAAAAGAGCAACTAGAATTTGTGCCAGCACTCTAGAACTTTAAAGCAGTAAACATTTGGAAAACACTAACTGTATATGGTCTTCAATGAAACAGATGGTTTCCATTCAATTCAAAAAAGAACGAGTGAAACAAATATATCACTTAAAGCCTCAGATCCTAAGCACAACTATTTTTAAGGCATATTTTCAAACAAGTTGACCTCTTTGGCAGGGGACAATTTGGCTTTCTTTCAGCCTATTTTATGAAAAATTGCTATATTGTATTCATATTGCTGTGTTCACATCACCCCCTAGTGATTGCTCAATTATATTCACAGCATGACTCTTCTCCCCTTTGATGTTGAACATTATATACAGACAGAGTTTACTGCAGGTATTACCTTTAAAGCAGGTTTAGGTTCTAACCCTAAGCCTCACGTGCAAAATGTTTGCTTCATGACCCTTACAATCTTTTCAGTTATCAGAAATTTACTGTCACCTAATCAAAACGTATCTACAGACTTGAGGTCAGCGCACATACTACATATAAGCACACAAATCCCACTTTTAATACCTCCCTAGCAATTCTTCAGAATATAACATACTTACAACCTTTGGAAGAACATACATTAGGTACCTATCTTTGAAGGTCTGGCAAGTGAAAGCCTTTTAACTTCCACACGATTTCAGAATCAAAATTATTATTTTACAAGTAATTACTGTTTCAGCATCCCCTTACCCTATCACCACCAGTTCACCTATGTTTAGAAAAAACTGGAGTACCTATCCTTTCACCAGGGCAATTGCCTACTAAAGCCAGTTACTACCCTCAATAAAGGCAGAAACACTACAGCATGACATACAGAAAGTTTTCTGCACGGTTAAGAGCATGACGCTGCTGAACACACACAACAGCAACCCCACTAGTTCAAGACAGACTGAAGGCACTAGAAAAGGCATTAAGTGCTTTATCTATACTTATTAGATCTTGTATGGAAGTTAATAGGACAACAGTATCCCCTTCCAAACACTTTAACACTAACTATAGGGTTGTTGGTTCCCCCCCCAAACACTAGAAATGCCTTACTGTATTACAATATGCTGCCTCAGTAGAAAGGTAGTACAATTTTAAAATACTGTACTTGGTAAGAATCAAGTCAGAGCCTTTATCAGCACAGCTGCTACAGCTGTCCAGTCTCAGTCCTAACACCTGCACCAGAATGCCCACACTTCTAGTATACAGCATGCCTCATCCAGCCACTAATCCCATCTTAAATGACTCCTTTAACACTACCAGATGAAAAAATCGGGAGTGTACTGCAGTTGGCAGACCAGAAGCCCCAGAGTTCTCCCTTCAGCTAAAATCTACAGGTCTATACATAATATAGGCAGTCAAACAAGCACATCTTAAAAGGACTTTCCAAACCACAGTCTGAACACCAGATGACAAAAGCATGCCTACCTCCATAAACACTGCCTGTTTGCAATTAGGTTGCACACACTCTGTAAAAAGCTCTGATTCGCTTCGAATTGATACTCAAGACTAGTTTAATTATGAAAAGATTTTAATACAGTGCAAAACAGCACACCAATCCTGAATTTCTCAAACTTTACAAAATGGTAGCTTTCAAATCAAAACCAAAGGGCAAGCCAGCATTTTATTGACATAGTTTATTTGATGTTAAAGCTAGATGTGCAGCTTCTTTCCAGAATAATTCTCTCTGTACTTCTTCATACAATAATGTAGTCTGTAAAGGAAAAGACAGATCAGTGCCACATGATTAAAACAATTTTTATTCTCATACATTTATAGAGCCTGAAAAACTGGTTCCCAAACAAGTCAGGTGAATCACGCTGCCTTTCTTAAAAAGTACGTAAGGTTCAAAATTTCACAGTACTGTCATGGGAATAAATGAGAGCCTAGACCACACCATTTCTGTAGAAGAGCGCAACAATGTACAATTCCTTTAGCAGCTTTCTGTTTAAGACGTTATACTCACTACATCAGCTCCCAGATAGACTGTTTAAGTTGCTTTAAGAAAAGGCATTCAGAAGACAATAAAAAAACCAAGGTGTACTATCTTTTCCTTAGCATACCTACCAAAGGAAAAATTTAAGACTATAAGACTATATAATCAACAGTTTTAGCAACAGTAAATCTGAACTGCCTGATTTATTATTTCAGCCTTTATACTAATCAGGTATTTCATTTAAATGGCAGTTGAATAAATTAACAAGTCAGCAGTAAGCATGAGAGTCTTAAACTCTTGCACTAGGTTTTGTATCAGCACAAGTACCACGGTCTTTGCATAAATCAACATTAGACCTATGTCATCATAATGGCAACAGGCTACTGAACGTCTACACTTACAAAGGATTCTGAAGTCATACCTGTTATCCATTTCCCATCTGAAATATGTTCGTTTACTGAAAAAGAAAAAGCATTAATAAGACAATAGTTTTATCAAAGTTTTACTACTACAGAGGATGGAGCTTTCAAATGCGACACGAAAACCTCAAAGTTTTGACTGTAGAGGCTGAAGACTTCAATTGCATGCATTCCCTCAAACGGGACCTAACAATATGTGTTTAGTGCTTAAGTAATACTCAGAATGCAACTGCATGTTCAATTATACCTACAGGATACAATGGTTTTAAAATGCTTATCCATCCACACTGAGGATGGAACTTTGAGCTTTTTACTGACACTCTCAATAGATTTTTGTGGTTTTTTTTCCAATTACCACAGTGAAATGCGACACGAAAACCTCAAAGTTTTGACTGTAGAGGCTGAAGACTTCAATTGCATGCATTCCCTCAAACGGGACCTAACAATATGTGTTTAGTGCTTAAGTAATACTCAGAATGCAACTGCATGTTCAATTATACCTACAGGATACAATGGTTTTAAAATGCTTATCCATCCACACTTCTGTTTGATCAAGTTTTTTTAAAAACCCAACATTTCTGTTGGGAAGGCTCATGTTCAAAGGCTGTCACAACTACAGCTGTGACATTAAAAGGCAGGGCAGATTTTTTTGCATTTGCTCCGAATGCAAACATTAGGTGAGAGGTATCCACATTACTTGCTGCAAACTTTCAAGTGAGATCAGCTAACCACAGAGCAACAGAATATATTAAATAACACAAACTACTTTAAAATACTTCTCTTGAAACTGCAGGGAAAACAGAATGGGAATTCTGAAGGAGTGAGAAGTGAAAGGAAACAAAGAAAACTTAGCAGTCAGACAACAGCATCATACTATTCAAGTATGATTCACCATTTCAATAGTTTTCATGACTACACGGTACGTAACTCTTAGAACAATACAGACTTGCCTGAAGATGCCTTCAGAATCAAGTGCCTACACATTTGTGAGATCAACAGTTTCCACAGATTGTGTAGGCAGACTCCAAAACATATTCCAGGACTTGTGTTAAAAATTCCTCCATGTGGCTGTGGTAAAGGATATTGAACCAAGCCACACCATTATGTTTAAACATGCATTTTTCAAGACAAAGCTTTAAGACACAAGTGTATTCTGCAAGCTTTTTTCTGTGATGCAGCACAGAACTCTTCTCAACCAAGTTTTCCAGAAAGCATGTAAATTAATTTGTCTTTAGTTTAAGTCTAATGCAAAGACATACAGAATAACAAAACTGGTGAACAAGTAAGATCTAGCCCATGCATACTTAGCAACTAAAAAATCATTTTAGAAGAAATGAAAAAAACCTCTTATCCAAAACAGTTTACCTGCTACTGAGATTGGATGCTAGTTTGAGAAGCACTTTATGCAGAAGTCACATCTACTATGTAATTATCGCAGCGTGCAATCATGGTCTTGATTTCTAAAGTGTTTATATGCTTTAAGAGAATTTCTATGAACTGGTCAGCTTTAGTAAATCAAGTGTCATTTAACTGTTTTGTATTAACACTCAATAACGGCTACCTTCGAGTGCAAAATTCTTGAAGGGAAGAAGTTCCTCCATACTACTTGTATCAGTGCAACACTACATGACTCCCTTGACATTCACAAGTGTGTAATGCTAGTGTTACTACTCTACCAAATGCTAATTTGTGCTGTTATACTGTAAAAAAATTGTAGGACTTCATTATTAAAACAGCATTAAAGCAGAAGGACAAAGGGCTCCAAATATTATCTAGTAGTTTGCAGCAACAGTGGTTCACTTCCATCCAAAGATAACAAGAACTTCACTTACACACTAAGTGAGAAATCTAACTTCACAGAGCAGTCACTGTGGTTTCTGTCTTAATTTGGAATACTACAGGCCAATAGTTAAATACAGTTTAATGCTGACAACTGTGCCATTTCCAACCACTATCTCAAACACACAGAGCTATGATGTGACTTAGTTTTCATACAGATGCACAACTTCTTTTACACAAAGGTCAAGTTACACATGCAATTGCACTGTACTACTTTGAATCAGAATTTGGGGTGTTTTGACCCAATGCCTCAATCAACAGCATTGACTTTCTTTGATTGCTTCTCATTTGGAATGCCTTATTTTAATGCTGTTTTACTAGTTTCAAAAATCTTGTTCGCTATTAGCTATATTTTAAGTTATACTGAATAAGCTTCATTTTGTTGTCTGAACCCTTTACAGGGCAGAGCAAGTTTAAAACAAACACGCATACAAGGCAGTACAGTGCTTTAAGTAAAAGGATGGACACATGTCTCAGTGATGTGTAATTCAGTCACCACATCCATGCTCATTCTCAGTACCTGCTAGATACTTCATTTCTGATGGAGAATTCCAAGAAAGTAGAAAAAAAAGCAAAAGTGAAGATTACTAAAGTTTGAGATGTCAAAGAAAGCACTTTAGTAGGTACAAACTTAAGCATCAAAGCCCATCACCTTGTGAAAATATCTGAAAAAACGCACTTAGCTGCACAGCTTACTCAGGATTTTTCAGAGGACAAAAAGCTGCCAAAGAGGATGACTGTCTTCACACCCAGACTATCCCTCAGTTTTGTGAGGTTTTTTTGTTTAAAGATAGGGGAACACTGCCTCCGCCCAAACTATACACCTTACAAGCTTGTATCAAGTTCCAGCCACAAAATAAGAAGCTCCCACCAGGGGAAAAAAAACACACACACACACTATCTTGGGAATCAGTCACTTAAACCCAGGATAGAGCAGGCATTCTACCTTATTTCTATTTACACACTGTCCTCACTGCCTACACCACCATACATCCTTAACAAAATATCCTTTATAAATAACAGCATAAACAACAGTAATTTGGTGGAGTAAGCATTAAATATTTAGGTAGTTGAGTAACAAGTGTTAATTATCTGATTTGTATATTGCAAGGCTGAGTTATGAGATTAGAGCAATACTGTTAGATTTATGAAAAATTTTAACTTTAGTTCAAGTGACACATAGGAAACAATCATTTAAGAAGCATTGCTTCACGTTGTATCAGCTAAGCTTGCAGCAGTGAGGAGCAAGACTAAGCTACTGAGCTGGTAAAAAGTTGCTACAACACCACACAGATTACCTTCTGTTATCCAGTAGAACAGGTGAAAAAAATGGAAAAAAAACAACGTTATTGTGTTGAAGAACTTCTAATCAACATTTCAAAGGCAATATGCTCACTCTAACTTACAGATAATTCTCATCCTACCTTCTTGCCAGCACCAACATTTGCCTTGGCTGTGCCCCTGACCTTCTTCATTCTGTTCTTACGCTCCTTTCGCTGCTTCCTGGAAGTCTTCTTCTTTTCATACAAGCCATGCTATTAAAAACAGTTAAAGTCACATTTAACATTGTTTCAGATAGCAACTTCTTAATTTAAGTTTTATTATTTCTGGTCTCTTCAAATACTGTTTAAATTTGAAGTATCAGTTAAGTAGTGAAACAAGGTCACTAGTTAACAAATGATTCAACACAGAATATAAGCAAAAAAGTAGTGTATGTATCAGTCTCATCTCTCATACTTCTTGAAGACCTTCGATAGTGGTTAGTTATCTATTACTGCTAAACATCACCGTAAGATCAATTTTGCCTTTGCAATTCCCCATAATACACAAAAAAACCCCTTACCCTATTTCACAAATGTGGAAAGTAACCCATACTATTTTAAGACCTCTTATTAACTCAGTACACCAACAATACTTTCACAAAAGTTTTTTATACATGTAAATCTTGAACCACTAACTACTTCAAATCCATCCTAATTGTTTTCAAGTTACCAGAAAACAACCTACCCTGGCAAGCCTATGTTTTGGTTCATTTTTCTTTGCATAGTCGAGGGAATCATAGATCATGCCAAAACCTGTTGTCTTGCCACCACCAAAATGAGTTCTGAAGCCAAAGACGAAAATTACATCAGGGGTTGTCTTATACATTTTTGCCAGCTTTTCCCTGATTTCTGTTTTGGGGACTGTGGCCTTTCCAGGGTGAAGAACATCAATCACCTAAAAAGAAGTTTTTATAAGTGTTATAAAAGCAAAAGAAGGTCAACATCCAGTACAACAGCCAGGTGCTACAGTTCCACCATGAGCTTAACAATTAGATTAACTCATCTTAGCACCAGAAAGTACTATTAATTTTGTATGACTATTCCTAACAGTTTCCTGCTTCAAAAGACAAACCAGCTCGCTATCTCACCATCGAGATTTACCTTCAGCGTGCATCAACACGTTTACAGATATAACCTCTTACAGTAAAAACTCTAGAGATTTTTAAGAGTCCCATGCTTACAGTGGTTAAAGAACACCCACAGCCCAGAACCAGCAAACAAACAATTAAAGACAATTTTTTGTGTTCTTTTACCATCTGCTTTCGTTGAAGCAGTCTGTTTGTCATGAACTTCCTGGTTCTGATGGTCACTGTGTCATTCTGCAGGAGAAGATACCAAGAGGTAAGACAAAACAATAATCACAAGTACAATTCAAGCTTAACATAGAAATAACACACACTACAGCAACAGCCCGTAGTCCCTCCAATGCTGACAGTGAACTCGACCTAACCAAAGTGGTCCTGAGCTACAGGGAACCCCCCTGTGAAGTACACTTTGATATGTACTCACAAGTACAGATCAACTGATGACGAGCTCATCCTCAGTTTCCAAGCAACACAGCAACATGCATATCTCCCCCATTCTGAAAAGCTGAAGCAGCTTTTAATGAAATACATGGACTACAAGCCCAACTACTACAACAGTACAAGGCAAGCTTCCCTAACAAACCTACACACTACAGATTCTATTAGCTCTTTCAGACAAGAACA